ATTTTTCATTTCTGGGAACAAATCATTTATTTGGATTTTCATATATCAGGATCACAGAGATTTGCCACAGTCAGATTTTAATTTTAGTTACATCTGAGCTGGCTTATATATTAGGGCGCATAGTTTTGCATGAGAGCATCTTCTAAAATCTGTAATTGGTGTGGAACACTGACATGCACAGAATACATCTGACAAGGTCCAGAGAGTTAGGTTCAGTTTTGCTGATCAACATCTATGCTGCAGATTAACTGAATCTTTTATGGCATTACAAGCCCTCCAGAATACATTAGTGTGCTTTCCCTTCCTGCAAACCCCCCTGACCTCCAGTGCTGCCATCACTGCTTCCTTCGACTGGACCCGAGAGGCTGAAACACTGACTCCTCTCCACTGCTGCACTAATAACAGAAATTAAATGTGTTTCTTAAAACTGCCCTGGAGTGTGTGCATTGGCACTTACCTTGGGTCTTTTAGCACTGCTTGGGATTTCCTTCTCCTTTGTCTGTACCAGAAAGCTCTATTTAAATTGAAATATGGCCTCTCTCTTAAAAGCAAGGGAAATAGAGTACTTTATTGATGAGTGATTATAATACAATAGAAACCAGTATATATAATGAGGTTTGGCATGGATTTTTTCTCAGAAATTGACTCACAGATGCAGCTAGCAGAGGAAATCATTGTATTAAAAGCAGAAAGGGGGATAAACACATGAGGGAAAGCAATGCCAGCTTTTGCGAGGTGGGTGCAGAGTACCTTCAAAGACAGCACTGTAATTATTGAAAAGCATATTTTTCAAATGCCCTCTTGGTCATTCTTAAGGGCATGGCTACAGGTTACAAGTCACCAGCAAATCATACTTCTCACACTTGTCACCCAGTGGATGGGACCATAGCTCAAGATCAGGAAAACACCTTCAGTCACCAATCCAGCTTTTCAGGTCCCACTCTGCAAAAGTACTTAGGCAAATTTGTCACACTGAGGATGAAATGGAAAAGATTAAGGTTTGGCAGGAAAGGGAGCCAAGAGAACTATGGAACAGCCCATGTGTCCACTCCCAAAGATGACTCTCATCTGAGAATCAGAAATGAAAAGGGCTCTCAATGCAGCTGGGACCAGGAATTGTGGCTCATCTGCTCTTCTTGTGCTTCCCACCACCAGCATCAGCTCTCCTCCCTTGTCACAGGGGCTGGCTGTGGCTGGGTGTTTGCCACAGCCCAGGCCCTGCAGAGAGGTGTCACTGGGCAGCTCTTTGATAGGTTTTGTTGTGCTGAAGTCTGTGCATTAGAACTTGAACACTGCAACACCTAAGTACTCTGCTGATTTATCCTTCTGCTTAACAGAAGGATACATAACACTGAAAATTATTAGCTGAATACCATCACCCAAGGGCTTTTTTAGTTAGTTTCATGTTTATCTCATATTGTCTTCTATTGAATTTTCTTATGTTTCTCTTCTGCCCTTTGTATTGCCTTTCCTCTAGTTTTTTTTTTCAGCCTTGTTCTGATATGTGCTTCTCAAAAACCATTTTTGCTTTCCTCATTAATGCTGATTTTTTTCTGTGCCCTTGATTCTCAAAAACATCCCACTTTCTCCTTTCACAGTCTCATTTTCGATTTTTCCTTTTGTTTACTTTGTTCCCTTCCTTTCTAAATCATATCTCTGCCCATTGTTTCCAGTTTCTCCTCTTCATACTTCTCCCACATTACTTAAAAAAAAGCATAAATCTCCCTTCCTTCCTCTGCTGCAATAAACTCATTAATGAAACAATTCTATTCATTGTGCTATCTTAGTGCTATCTTAGTGCTATCCAGTACAGCCCACACCTGCTTGAAATACAGGGGCCACTTTGCTCAGTGCACCCCTCTGGTTTGCATAGGCAGATTCTGGTCCCTGACTAAGGTGTGTAGGCATGAATAAACAATGCATGAATAGTAATTGGCATTGATGATGCTTCTGCTTCCTGGTAGAACTTCCTGCTTTTACCTTGTCTTAGCCTCACGATACCTCTTGTCCCAACTCCTCTACAGCACACCCAAACCAGCACTTTCCCTCCAAGAACTGAAATACCCACAGTTAGAAGGGTCAGTTGCCACAGGAGGAACATTTTGAAGAGGTATGAAGTTGCTACAAGCACTAAATTCCCCAAAGCAAGACTGGGCTTAACAAAGCAGGGTCCTTTTTACTTACTGTGGGACAGAGGAACAGAGGGAGCAGCACAAGGCAGAGGCACTTCACAGGCATGTAGTGGCTTCTCCAGTGAGAGCAGGCCCAGGGGTGGAGCTTTCCCTGCTGGAAAAAGGTGCTGCTTTCCCAGGCCAGGCACTGTGCTCTGGGGGAGACCAACTCACTACAGCCTGCCTTTTACTGTGGCCACTGCACTGACAAGCACTGAGTAATGACACTTGGAAAACAATGAGGATGTTATGTAACACCAGAAAATAAAGGAAGTTCACACATCTACATGATAAAAAAAGTTCCAAAGAATTTAATGTAGATATTATTTATACATACACTTTATAAGTAGGAATATGGCAGACAGTTGAATTAGTACATAAAGTTTTATTTAAAGTTTCCCCCCTACAAGCAAGCTTCATTTACACAGTCTAGTACTGTACAAAATTTACATTCTTTGTGTGACTTATTTAGTTAGCATTGTTTCCTTGGTCATGCCTTCCTGATAGATAGAAAGATTTAGATACAGTCCTCATAAATCTTTAAATTATCTTGGTAAAAAAAGGAACCATTTAAAAGGACAAGAAGTATCCTTTAAAAATGGTACATTTTAGTAGAGACAAGTGACAGACAATGTTCAGTGGCAGACCTTTTAAATGTCATACAAGGTTTCCTCATTTAGTATCTTAACAGTTTCCTTTTTATATATATTTATATTTATATACTTTCAACAGGAAAGGAAAAAAAGTCATGATTGCACCAAATATATTTTACAAGGGATCCCTTGGATCTGAACAATATAAATAAATACAAAACCAACTAAGATTGCACTATGTAGGAGAAATGGATTGAGATTTCAGGATATACACTCCACCTTTATGAGTTCCTTAGTGATGCTCACTGGAGAACTCCCCAAGGGCACATTCAAATATTAGCATCTTCAGATAATTATTTTGTTTAAACATTTTTTTCCAGGCGTGCAGCTACCTCATCAATTGGATTATTGCATTTGTGTGGTACCAGTCTTTACTGCATTACTCCAATTTTACAAGTTGTGTAATTCTGCTGCAAGCAAGGGAGTTGCAATAAAATTGGACTGATGCCAGAGAGAAACAGTCCCATGATATTCGCTCTCCGTTATTTATATTGCTCTCAAGCATCAATATATAGTGTAATTTCTGTGTACATTCACCCTTTTTCTATTTTGCAAAGCAAATAATGAAGTCTATTTCCCATCTATTGCTTCTGCAGCTGAAACCAACCTCCAGTAGCTGCCTACTCCTTGCTTAATGCACTAGCATTAAGTCCTGTCGTGAAAGATATGTGCAGGGCTGAAAATGCAGAGTGTCCTTTGCCTTTATCTGGTGCAGCCAGCTACAACTAGGCAAATTAAAGGCCAGATATTTATCTGACATAAAGAACATCCATTGGCTTCGATGGAGCAATGTCAGTTTACACCAGCAAAGAGGATGGTCCTGAGAGTAATGGATGCAGCACTAGTAAACCACAGTGGAAGAATTATGCACATACTTTAATGAGGTGAAGATGATTATGTCTGTTAGCTGCAAGGTGGTGAAGAATCAGGCTCAGATTTTGTCACTGCTTTTGCAAAGCCAGGACAGAAAGACATAAGCTTAACACACAGACAATCTGATTTGTGCAAGCAGCTATGACTTCATGAAGCAAGTCCTAAATGCTACTGGTCCCATGTGGGAGCATTCTGAACTCGCTTTGCAGTGTGTAAATAATTACACAGGCTATAAGGCAGTGGAAAGTCTAGCCTTATATTACTTTGGATCAATAGTAAAACTCTCTCAGAGTGCATCTTAAGATCAACCACACAGGACTACTTTAACTACTTACCAGTGTCTCTCCAAAAATGTGCATAAGCATTTCAGAGTCCAAAGCAATAAATTTATGATTAAATGCAGTCTTCTTGTCTTTGGAAAGAACTTGCACAGATGCTGATATATAACAGGTTAGTGAAAAGGAAGTAGAAATAACTTACTTTTCAAAGCCAGATTTTAAGCTGTAGGATCCAAATTCTGTTATACTAATGTAGAACCAGTCATTCCATGTGATTTTAGTGAAATGGTTCTGACTTTACACAAGTGTGATTAGCAGAATTTGATCCTAATCCCTAAGCTGCTATTGCAAGAAGTGTTCTGTAAAGCATAGCTTTCATTGTAGTCTGCTTTCTGCTGCACTTGCACATGGGGACTTTGACGGCAGAGTGTATTAGTTGCCAAGCTGCGCAAAAACTGAATGATATTTCTTTACCTTTTATAATCTTCTGATGCTGTGTTGCTTGCAGAGCATATGAAGTAGTTGTAGGTTAGGATTACAGAGGAGGAGACAATTCTGCAATGCAGTGTGAGCTTTTCACTATCTGAATTCTGAAACATTCATGAAAACAACATCCTCATGACTTCAACACAGATCACATGCAGGTAGATACAATGCACAATACTGATCTTGTCTCTTCAGGCTCTATTTGAACAGTTAGCCATCATTTTTTTTTTAAGTTAAATTTGATGTGAGGAGTGTCTCTGCAGCAGGAAAAGTTTAAATCAGTCTGAAATGGCAGTCTGTCAGCATGTAATGTTCGGTGTGTTTTAGCTTCTCGCTTCATAAGACACCGGCACCTATCTGAGATGGGACAACACTTGGTTTTTCTTTTCTTTTAGTTTGCTCCTAAAGCATAAACATGGAATGAGGGGTCAATTATGGTAGCTTTGTTTTAACAGGAACTCTGTTCTAATAAAATATTTACGTCACCCGTCATTGTTTTCCCAAATGCACTCAGTGTTCGTGTCAGTGCTCCCGGCCCATCACTTGTTGTACGGGACGCAGGCCGGCAATACCACAGTCGAACACGCAGGTCCTGCTAGGGGCTCCGCAACGTCACCTTCCAGCTCTGTCCAAGTCCCCTTCTCAGGACTGTAGCAAATAGTGGAAGATTTGTAGGCTCCCTGGTAGTAGAAGAAAATGTCATATTAAATGTGGCTTTTGTAAAATCCAAGTCACACGTCAGCTCTAATGATGTTTGAAAGTGACTCGGGGTCACTCAAACTTAGAAGCTCTTCAAGAGGTTTTTGGTTTTTTCAGCACCCAGCCTCTGAAAATCAGTCTCCTTTACAAGCACCTCATAAGCAGAGCTGTAAGCATACAGTCCCATCAATCATTTTTTCAAAATTCCTTCTGATTTTTAAATTACTCCATATCAGTGAATAGAGTATAATAATAACTTATCTAAATAGAGATGCACAAAGGTGAAAAAACACTCCATGTTCTCTATAAGCTGAAAACCAAGTGAACCTGCCCCTGTAGCTAATTCCCCTCTTCTCTCCATCCCATCTGCATACTATATGGACTGGCCACAAGAACTCAGAAGGAATAGAAAGGTGATTGTAGAAAGCAGGTACACACCATACTCCAGCTGTAGCCTCCTACAAGGTAAATACTGTCATCAAGGACTGCACAGCCAGGGCCACTGCGACCCTCCAGAATAGGAGTCTGCAGGATGTTCCACTGGTCACCTTTTGGATCGTAACATTCCACAAGCATTACGTCGAGATGGGAGAAACCTGGATGAGGGCATTCAGGAAAGAGAACATGTGTTATGACATACTGTTTTATTGCTTGTTTTACTGTTAAACTTATTAAATTATAGTTACAATTACACTATTACAATTATAACATAATTGTAAACATTTTAAAGAAAATATTTTCATATACATTTAAGCCAATTTCTGTAATATTAATGCTTTGTAATTTCAGTTCAAATAAATCTGTTGAAAGTTTTTACCATTAGTTCTACAGTCTTCTACAAATCATGAGTCCATATAAAATCTGACCACATCAGGAAACACTCAGTAATAACTTATCAGTGACACAAGCAGATTCAAACAAAATTCCTCCTTGTCTATGCTATGAGTGCTAATACAAGTTTGACCATGTAGGAAAAGATTGTCCTGGCAGTCTTTCTCAAAATTCAGCAGATCCAATCTATTCAAAATTGAACAGATTGAATTTTGCTCAGAAATCAATGTCTAACAAGTCCAGGGAGAGCTTAGACAGCTGAAGCCAATTGGTTCTAGAGGGACAAAGTGCTTAGCATGATGGACATGATGTGCAGGACCAGTTTCAATTTTCCAGCTGACTTAAGGTATACTCTAAAGCACACAGCTGGAGTAAAGTCTTTAAGGTGACAAAAAAATATAGCCACAAAAATGGTGGTCCCATCTTTCCCTGGTAGGCCAAAAAATGCTCCAAGCAACTGCTGCTGTTTGATCACCAAAGGGCAGAGGGGTCTCAGCTCAAGATTCTCAAACTGTATCAGTTAATATGAATCAAGTGAGCTAAACACAGACATTGAACACAAGAGTCCTGGTTCCTGCTCTAATTTTAGGCAATTCCCTATTTCAAACTACCTTCTTTATCAGAGAACTGCAGTAAAAGAATGGCTTTCTTAATATGCTGAAGTGCTTTTCTTAACCCATCTGTCTTCTCTTCAAAGTATGACAGCAAAGAGAAGTAAGATTTTCTGTAAAACAGGGTATTTGGTGATATTGACACTTCACAAGGGAGCTGCTTGCTTGAATATTATTTATGTCTGGAATGAGTATGAAATAATATGAAATAATTCATAATCATATGAAATAATTACTTGCTGCTTTAAGGTTTTCAAGGCACCATAAAAAGGCCACTGCCGTGCACCCAGAAGCTGTCAAAAGCTCTGTAACAAACTGCAGTATGCACATGACTGCTGTGATGTGGTAAATACACAGCTAACACTACTACACAGTTCAGCTTCACAAAGGAGGGCTTTGCCATGGAGCCCTGCTATTCCCTGCCAGTGGAGAATTTGTAACATTTCATCCACACTTCAGTCCCCTCCCTGTCCTTGCAGCTCTTCCTTTTGTTTCACTGTATAGGAGAAACCAATTTTTTCCAAAAAGTTCTTTTACCAGAAAGCCACATCTTTCCAGAAGCCTGGATGTTAAATGCTCCTCACAACAGTGAGCAGTTCAAGCATAACAAAGGCACCCAGGACAACAGCCGTAGAGGCAAAAATGCAAGGCTTATTAGAAGTAGGTGAAACTATGTGGAAAAAAAAAAGAAGGTGGCAGAATAGAAGCAATTTGAGCCTCTGCAAACCAAAGCATGTGCTTTAGCTTGAGGAGAGCTGTGACAGGTTTTACTTTTGTAGGAGGAAAAGCCAACACTGGGAAGCAATGAAACCTGGCAGTTGTTCATGTGCAAGCCCTCTTCACCTTATAATGTCCAGTCCATAACCACCCATCCCAGCTGGGGGTGGGGAGCGGAGGCACAGCAGCACTGAACCTGCCTGCAGGGGTTTATGCACCAGTACTATTTATCAGGGAAAATTTACATCTGGGACTTTGTCCCTTGCATGCTCCACAGACACGCAGATCTCCAAAAGCAGCATGTGGCTTTACAGTGTCATGGGGACCCAGGGACTGGAGTCAGACATGACCTGGTCTTACTGGCAGTTAACACATTTTTTTACTTTTTCTTCTATATCATGATTTTATCTTTTGCTGTTGAGAGTCTTTTATTTTTTGGTTTTCAACATTAAAGGAGAAAGAAGAAAAAAACCCTGAATATTAACTATCAAATATTATCATGGGAGAAAGGAGCAGGAGGTGTGCTTTTTGTCTAAGTGGCTGGATTAAAAAACATCTTTAACATCAATGACATACAGGTATTAAGATAAAATTACCAAATGCCCAAGCAATAGTTATTTTGAGACCTTTTCAAAAGATGAAAACAAGAGACCTCTAAAAAGAATTATAATAAACAAGCTGCATTTAATACTAAAAAGGGATTTAAAGAGCCTAGTCCTATTATTTAATGGCTGGAAGTTTGCTTTTTTTTTCTCTTCATTAAATCAGGAGCTTGGGTTTTGTGTGTTGCTCTGAATAAAGCTCTCTTTAACCGCACATTTTGGAAAATGATTTACAGAGGAAAATATTGCTGGTACTTTCGGGTCAAAGAATAATCTGTTTCATTGAATTCTTGGTAATGACAAATTGTCCATGCCTTTGAGTAATGGAAGCTCCCATTTTTATTATCTAAAGCATTCATTACTCATATATTTAATGTACTGTTATAATTTTAAAATAATTTGCATAAAATGTTTTTAAAATTGCTGGCTCAAGTGTCCTGTTAAATTGTGTTGCTTGGCTTTCAATGTATTTAACAGTGACTGTCTAACAAAAATATTCCTTATCAGAGATGTGGGACACTGAGATACTTTTTTGCTATTAAAAATGTGACCTTTCAAATGGTTCCCTCCAATTGCATACAGTCGATCATTCATTACAGCCAGAGTGTGAATTGCTCGTTTTGTGTTCATGTCCTGTTTTCGGGCCCAGACGTCCATCACAGGGTCATAGCAGTACAGCCAGGGGACGTATTCTCCATTGTGAACACCTCCTGCAAAGTAAATACACATCAGCTCATTAATATAAATAAAGACATTGAGCTGCAGCAGCAATTTAGCTCCCTGGTTTTGGGATTCTGTGGTTTATTTATTTTTTATGGTGGTTTTGGGTTAGTTTTCTTGTCATGCAGCAGGAATTACTCAAGACACTGGCCTGAAATATATATCTTGCCATTGTGGACGGCTCCTGCGTGGGCTGCCAGGGGCTGGGGTAGTGAAGACACGTAGCGCCACTCGTTTGTCTCCAGGTTGTAGCACTCCACGCTGGACAAGTAGCCAGTTTCGTTTCTTCCACCGATGACATACAAGTTCTTGTCAAGGCGGCAGGCGTAGAAACTGGCTCTCCTGGAGGACAGGGCAGAGCAAAACAAACAAGCCAACAACAAACCAATTAGCCATGTCAAACATTTCTCTCCCCTCTCCAGCTGACTCCCTGAACTAAGAGAGCTGCTCCTTCAAATGCTACATCAGGGACAAGTAGCTTCCAGGAAGCTTCATGTGCTTACAGCTATCCTAGAGACTGTGGCTGCTGTGCTAATCAAATACACAATACTCCACATCAAAAAATACTTCATTTTTTGTGTCAAAACAATCAGGCACACATAAAGCTGCCAGAAAATACCCCTTTTCAAAGCTGTTTGTTTCTTTTTCACACCCGTGAAAGATAAAAAGGTGCTCATTAATGTATGGGGCATTACCTTGTAAGGGATATAACAACTCAGTAAGACAAAGTGAAAAATGAGGTAGATAATGTAACAATAATAAATTATCTTGACATTCACTTTCTTTATGGTCCTTCAAGGGTCATTGTTCCCAATTTACTAAGAGAACCACATCATCAAAATTTTTCTTCAATTATCATTTTTTTCTTCCTTCTGCAGTACTGCAAACAACTTTCCTTATGCTAGCCACAACACTACATTTCCACCCTTTAACTCAAATGAGGTCTGTCTCCATCCAACTAAACCTGAGAAAAGTTTTAGCCACCTGTCTGCTTTTACATGCAACTCAGGTGTGTAGGAAAACAATTAAGTTTTCTGGTCAGGACTGTCAGGCATATATTAGTTTGTCTTCCTTGTGCCTCCAAAATCAATGGTGAGTGTTTCTTGCTGAAGTAAAAATTGAGCAGTAGATGATTTTGAGAGACCTTGGTTGGTGTAATCCACTCCGGGGAAAGCTCCCTGGATCATTCAGCAACAGGAAGGTTTGCTAGAGTAGAGACCTTTAATTTCAAGCAGCAATAACATGAGGAAGAAAATTGCAAAAGAGCACAGCTGGGCTAGGATGAAGAGCTGAACAAAATATTGAATGAGAAGAGTCGTCAGTCCCCAACATAAAGTTTTCTCCTGGGTGAAATCAGAATGACATGGGAGCCCAGAAATGAGCAGGCAGGCCAGGCACAGCAAAGTGTAGCTCTGACAGCTCCTGCAAAGCACTCTGGAGTGTGGCTGTGGCTTGCCAAACCCTGCTCCGTGGCTGATTCAATGCACTCTGGTTCCTGCCCAGATGCCTTAATTTGAATCTGGGAGCAGCTGCATATTTCACTCCTGAATCATGCAATAAATCTTGGGGCCTTGATGGTCAGCTGCACCATCAAAGACTTGAACCTGCAGACCACTGCAAAGCATTTGGATGAGCAGTGGCACACACAGCATCATCAGTGAGCAGCTTCCATGTCCAACTCCTTCCTGGGCTTCCTGAGAGCCATCCTGTGACCAGGTGAGCTGGCAAAGTCTGGTGTGCCCTGTCCCTAACCAGGCATCTAGTCAGGCATGTTCAGGAGCATTTTCTTCAGTGAATGCAGGAATAAGATCTTGCTCTTTTGCACAGCTACCTATTTTCACAAAATTTGTAGCATCCTTTAACCTTTTGGAGAAATTTTCCTCTTAGTTAAAAGTCTGAGACTGGCTGGTGGTTTATAAGTTGGAAGAGAAGTCAGGCAGACACCAAGGGATACAGCCATGGAAACAGCAGGGCTGGCTGGGCATCCAGGGAACAGATTTGATGCATCACTGCCAGTTTCTGACCTTACTTTTTGGATTTGGTGCACACCTGACAGGGCTCCTCACCAGCCAGGGTCACTGGACATCTCCTGTTCACTTCTTTGCTTTCACCCTGCCTGCACATGGGCAACTTGGACAGTGTGGGGCAGAACCCCATTCTGAGTGGGGCTGGGAGCTCCACCATAGGGAAGACTTCTGAAAAAAACCCTGTGGAAGTAGCAGGACAGGAATACTGGCAAGTGTCTTCAGATCAACTGATGAATTAAAAAGGACTATTTAATTTATCTGTCAGTGGGCAGATAGAAGCTGATGGCATATTCTGCTCTGCATGGTCGGGCAGCAAATTGTGCATTTATGTTTTTAGCCTGATATTCTATGGAAACAAAGCTAATTTGATTACACTGTACATGTACCCATGTCTGCCTACTGTTGTCTCTTAAAAAAAACTCTGCTGACTGATTTCACTCTAATTTGACAGAGGCTATAGGTGTTACAGGCAATTGAATGTATATAAGCTTTCTGAGAATATGTGATGGGCCAGAGGCAACACAGCCCACAGTTGCCCCAAAAGTAGGAAAAGCTGCAGAGGTCACCTCCTATTAGATATGAGAGAGCCTGCATAGTCAGGTGCCCATTTTTCAACCCTCCTGTGTCCAGCAACCACAAGGCACAAAACCAGAGGGTGCCTGTTGTCAGCGCTCCCACATCCACTCCTCTGACCTTCTCTGCTGAACCCATTACCAAACTACTCTCAGCATGTTTTGCTTTTTTTTTTTTTTTTTTTTTGGTCAGGTTTAATAACCAGAGGTAGACACAACTTGCATGCATTATTCTCTTAACTAGGGTTTCACTGACGATATTCTGTACGTGTACTCCTGGTTTCATCCACACAGTGTCACTATAAGGAGCAAAAATGAAAGCATCAGCATACTTCACTCTTCTGCTTGGATGTGAACCTTCACTCAGTAGCTTCTGTCACAAATATTTTAAGCTTTTTGGGTTTTTTTAGTTTTTAATGATACAGTGTGTAAGGGCATGCTGTTACAGCATGCAAAGGCATGCTGTCAAGTGATGACTTTTAAACTGCTGTAAAATATGATTCAGATTAAACTATAATACAGCAATCTTTGCATGACAACGTTCCCCTCACTACTGAGAAGACACTATCCATTCTAATCAGGTAACTAGAATGTACCTCAAGATCTAAATATGGACAGTAAGACAATTATTTTGTGATTTTCCTCAGAACTTGAAAGTACTCGATGTTCACTGGTCTCCTAAATGCTTTTCCTTCACACCTCTTCACCCAACCACTAACCCAACCAACTTCTTTCAAGTATACACATATAAAAGGGAAGATTTTCCTCATGATTTTCACACCTGATGAATTTATGCCCTGAAACAGCAAATAGATCTACCAGTCTGGGATTTAAATTTACCAGTGCTGCTACTGATTGTCACAATATCTAGACCTGATTTCAGAGTAATTTATAGAGTGCATGCTTTGCTTTTAAAAAATAAATAATCTTAATAGGGGTTGACATTACTATTATTAAAGTCAAAGACAAAAATAAAATGTGAAATTTTTGTATTTCTTTTTCTGTGCCTTTTCTCAACTCAGCCTCAGAGAGTACATTGACCTGCTTACTTCCCACTTCCACTTGTGCTTCTTCAGAACTTGATACAATGCCATGATTTTAGCTGGTCTTCAAACAAAAATTTTGAACTCAGAATATAAGAAAAAGCAAGTTGGTTTAAAATGCTGGTTTGCTCCACACACCTTGAAAAGCTCTGTGTTGAGCTGGCAAGGTGCAGCAGTTCTGCCTGAGGTGCCTAGCTGGGGCTCCCATCTCAAGTTCAGATACAACTGCTCTCAAGACTGCTCCTTCAGCAGCCATCATAGTCTAACTGAACTCGTCTCCAAAAACCTTCCTGTTGTTATGGCATCATCCGGCAGATGTGTATTTCCAAAGCTAGTGAGTCACTTGCTGGTTCTCTAAACAACAAACTCCTGAAAATAGCATCTATTTTTCAAAAGCGTTTATATTTGGGATGTTCTTCAAGGGAAAAGGAACCAAACTTAGCTTTGAAGAAAATACACTGGCAACATTGAATCTATAATGGGATTAGACTTTTCTTTATAGCTCACACAGTAAAATCAATCAGATATGGATTTTGGCATGTGAGATAAAAGTTTACTTATCAAATATTTCATACAGATTTTTGACTTGAGAATATACTGCCTGTGAACAAGTCCCACATTTACCTGGCAGTCATTTCAAAGGAGCTATTATAGTCTATGCAGCCAATTATTCTCAGACTAAAATTCCTAAATAGGTTTTGACTTGATGGACCATAATGACTCAGAAAAACCCATTTAACAGTCTGTCTTGTCAATGGTGCCTGCATTATGCCAGCAGAGACAGGGCATGACCCCGTATTCCTAGCAGGGGGAAAATAGCCCGTTGACTTTAATGGGAACTTTATCTCACTAAAGGAGCTGGGAAAGAAAACTGCATAAAAGCTCTCTCTTATTTGCATGATCTTCTACAAACTGGGCCAGTCCATACCTCTGAAAGCTGCTATAACTCTGAGGAAGTCATTAGGACTGAGCAAACAAACCATCAAAACCATTTTAGAAAGTGAGTGTAAAATCTCTTTTTTCCAACAATAGCCCTAATGCTTAGGAGCCTTTAAAAAAAAAAACAACATGCAAGCCCATGAGCTATCTATCCTGAACAAAAGAGGTGACAATTAAGGTTGTCATAGCAAAGCCCCTTGCAGAAGGAACTATGTATGAGTGGACCATTGTATTTCAGTCCCTCTGTAGGGAGCTGTGGTGTTCACACATTACAGTTTATTACGGGCAGGGCTGTGGGGCACAGATGAGTTTTGGCCTCTTGGCCGAAGGCAGCAGCTTCCACCAGAGCACAGGGCCAGTCAACTGCCTCATGATTTTCCAGGGAAACACAACTGGCCAATGTGGAGGTGAGAAAATTCCTACTGCCTCCTTTCTCCAACCCTCAGCTGCCTACTTCTGCTTTCTGAAGTTTGTCAGCCAAATAAACCCAACTGCTCAGCCAGCTGCCAACACCCCAGAGATACCCAGAGGGCCTGATTAGAACTCAGATTAGGCTCCACAGAGGAGCTCCAGGCTCCATACATCACCAGTTGGTCTTCTATTCAGTCTCCAAGCTCAGCAAGGATGACTTGCACAGTGATGCCCACTCTGAAGCTCACCTCCTGTCTCCCCCATGGCAACACGTAAACTGGTGGTGACTCACTCTAGGAAGCTGAACCAGAGGGCAAGGTGTCCCTCTGTTTTAAAGTAAACAATCACAGCTGTGAAGGTTATCCCACAGTGTTGGTGGGAATGAGGGAGAAGGCTAGGTGCTGCCAAAGCAGGGACTTAGGTCAAACAAACTGAATCTTGAACAAAGGTCCTTCAAAACTTCTGCAGACAAATTTGAAAAAACAGCCATATTTCCAAGTATCTCATAAGACACACCTTGAATCACAACACTGCACTGAATTCAATATATTTCTGACTGCCAGACACCTGAATAGTGTAGACAGTCAACAAAAAAAAAGAACTGTAATAGTGGCACGGAATAAAGAAAGCATTTGAGGGAAACACTGTGAGATCTTTTGTACATGGGATCGATGAGAAGATGGGTGTTTAAGTGAAGGAAGGTCACTGAATATTTTCTTCCAATAACATTGTAACTTTGGATCTTCTGCCTTTGAGATTCTTCTTACAAAACATGCACAATTCTGTTCAGGTTTATGGAATTTTTTTCCTGTGAGGGTGGCATTTGGGATCCACAGTTCAGTTTACATCATCTTTACAAGTCATTGCTCAAGTCCACATCCACCTTTGCTCTTTGGTACACAGCAAGATTAAAATATGAGCTACTCTAATATGCATTTACTGACAGCAACTTCACTCAAAGACCACCTAGGATTAAGAGTCCTCTGACAAGTGGAGACATGTTCAGGAGAGCTTTTCATAGCTGGTGTGGTGAAACAGGACGGAGTCAACATGTGAAGGTTTCAGTTCCCTCTAAGATATCTGACTATAATTACTGCTTGTTTACTGCCAAACTCATCATGACACTTCAGTCAGGGAACATGACAGGACACTATGGAGACTTCAGAAAAATCTTTCAGACCGTACTCAGGCAACCAGTAATTGCATAAAGTCCATGGCTTTTGCATGAGTTAGCACTGCAGGACTTGGCAACTGGAGTTCCAAATTTGGAAAGTTTTAAAAATTAGGAAGCAAATGGGACACAACTGCATGCTGCAGTTTTGTCTGTGTTTTCAATGCTTCTATAGGCCTCCTTATTCCCAGAACTAAGACAAACCTCAGCTGCCCCTAGGATGAGAAAACAGAAATTGAAAAACACATAGCAGGTTTTTACCTCTCTTGCATGGGTGGAAGTTGTATCCAGCTGTTAAACCTGGGATCGTATCGGCTAACAAAGTTTGTACTGTGTTTCCCTGTAAAGATAGATTATTTTGACACTCAGCTGTTTGTTTCATGTATTTAACATCATGATTGTAATATATATTACATATACTTCACAAATTGACACCTTTTATGAAGGGTTCCCCCTTTTACAACAATGTATGATTACACTGTGTGTACAGTAATAATTCAACAAATGGGGCACTGCAAGGCTTGAATTAGCAGTCACTAGCAGTAAAAGCAGATAGTGATTATTCTTGGTCTTTGTAATAAGATCTTGAAAATGTGTATTTAAATTTACTTACACAAGCTGTGGTATTTTCACAGCCACAATAAATCACAGCACTAAACAAAATTACTGCCCAAAGAGGGCATCCCCACAGTATTTTTATGACTAGAATTTTTTCAGGTAAAAAAATTAAAGGGAGAACACGTTCTTTTCTTTCTCCTTATATTCTCTCTGTGTGGAACATGGCAAAAACCCATTGTGCAAATAACCAGGAGCTGCATAAGCCATCAGCATGGGGTATGCAGTATTTGCACTAGATAGTTTATTCTACCATGTACTTTCAGTGTAAGTTAGAAGGAATTACAGATGTGCATCGAAGGGGCAATACACTCTTAAGAGTTTTATTCCAACTCTGTTAGCTAAAATATGAAGCATGAGCAACATACACCAGCTAACTAGCTTCTCCCTGCTGTCAAGACCAAGAACTGTGTTCATGTCTTCACGATATTAAGATTTCACCTTATTTTACATGCAGATTGACACCAAAGCAAGAAAACTGAAGCAAGAGAGTGCATGGCAATTTCCTGTAACACCTGAGACTTCAATAGATGAGCATTTTGAAAACAGAAACCTTTGTTTATGTATGTGTGACTAAAAAATTGAATTAGAGGCTTCACAGGCCAGCAGAATAACCTAACTGCGTATGTCACAGTTCTATAAATGGTCACTGGGCATTCTACAAGGTGAATATTTTTGCATCAGACAAGCCTCTGCAGGATTGGCTCGCTTTGCCTGCTTCATTCCACACTTACTTCAGCATGTGTAAATACACTATCAAGACAGTAGAGAAGAATAACAATACAGCTAGAACTTATAGTCATAATAATTTAAGTTCATGTTCTACAAGAAAACAGAGAAAGAAACCACACTGACCGCTTTGGAAGTAAACTGATTTCCCAGCCATGTTATAAGCATGTTCTATATGAGGAGGGTAAAGCAGAAGACTGATGAATAATGGAGCATTACCCTTCAAATCCAGCATGGTGCCTAACGAGGACCTTGCTGAGTGCCACTCAAAGATAAGACCATCTCAGCACCACCTCAAGACACAGGGTGAGATTCCCCTACTGTAAGGGCAACTGATCCTTCTGCCACTGGGCTTAGTGAAGTGAGGCTTTGCTTTTGGTCCTTATCTGGATTCCTTTAGTCTACACAGACAATTTAGAAAAAGAGGCATTGAGAGCTATAGATTCAATAAGCAGCAAAACAGTAACAGCAAGCTTGAACAGGTTCTAGGTTTCACTGTCTAAGACATTTACTAATCTCTTTGTATTTCAAAAAGCAGGAATTCAAAATAATATAAATATCGATCCTAAGTTCAAACTTCTATTTTTTTTCCTAGGTTTTAAGGCTGCTTTATTAAACTGCTTCCTTCAGAGTTACTGGGACTTCAGTGCTCATTAGTTATACAGCAGTTTGTTCACTGTTGTCATACAGATCTATAATTTGGCTGCCTAATGTGTAATACACATACTCACTACAAACACCATGTATGTAGAAGATTGTAAAGTGCAGGGTAGAAGAAGGGTTTAGTAAGCCTAGACTGGGAGTGCAGGATACAAATCTGGGTCCTTCACAGGAAGGGAGATGAAATCAAACTAGAACAGTCACAGAGAAGAGCTACTATGGCAACAGGAAGAACAGAAAGTTTACCTTATGGCAGGAGACAAAGAACTTGGCCTGTTGCACCTAGAAATACAAAAGATGAAAGGGGATAGGAGTGCTGCCTGTAATACTTTAGAGGAACAAATCTCCAGGAGGGGAAAAACTGTTAAACTAAAGGCCAGCCTTGGCATAAGGTGATTTAGACAGTCAAAGAATACATTTTATTGGATATCAGAATAAGACTCCTAGTCATTTAGAGCAATTGGATTCTGTAACAGCTTTCCAAGAGGAGTAGTGGGGGCTGGAAATACAACTGCTTTTCAAATGCAGCTTTAAAAATTTACAAAATGGGATTATATGATGCCTGTGACTGCAGGAAAAGGACTTGGTGATCTACTTAATCTGCCTGATGTAACTAGTTTGACTGCAGTATAAGTCTGGAGTTCTGTTTGAAAGAGAACTCTATCTATGTTTTGCTTTGCTTATCAGCCAGGAGATTGCACATCTTAGGATGCATCTGTTCTGTCAGAACACAGAACCTGGGACAAGTGAACAAAAATCAGGATTAGAAAATCAGGATGATGGCACAAAAGAAGGCAGATACTGTTCTCTGCTCTGCAGCCATGCTAGAAGGTGACGGGCTCTGAAGGTTATGAAGGTTGGTTTTAAATCTGTGCCTATGTTGTGCACCCTGCTTTCATCAGTGTTTACTCATGCAAGAACCCCTTGTGACTGGAAAGGCATAGCTACTGGAGGATGCAAAAAAGTGAGAAAAAATGTCTCCCATACTTTGTGGGTTGTCAGGAAGTCAGTGGAGCATGAAGGAGGTGTGAGCACTCCTTGGGGTCCACACATTTTCTCAACAACCAGATGGTGTGATGGCTAAAGCAACATCTTACCATTGCCACCATCTCTAATATAATTCTTTACATTGGAAAATACACCTGGAACAGTCTAATTTGAAGCAGAAGCTTTGTAAAGCCTTGGCAAGATGAATCCAAGTAGGTCCATCTGAAGTCCCTCCTGTGCTCTGAGGATAGTAGACAAGGGCCTTTACACAAATTCAAGTGGGCATGTGTGAGCTGCCCCCATGTAGCTGCACATTTAGAGCAAAATGGTTACAAGAGAGAATATGCCCAGCACAGGATGTAGTTTATGATTTCAGGTTCACTTTCAGTGACAAGTAAGATCCATTTGATAAAGAGATCAGTACAGCAATGCTCATATCTTTTTTATTGCTATCTTCTTTACGGAAAAAATCCCATCACTGGTATTCACAGGTCAGGGAAATTGGAAGATGTTTTCATCAACATCTTCAGCCCAGGAGTTGACCCAGATCTAGGCAATCTCAGGCCTTGGGTACTATTCATCTCACAAACAACTGTGTTTGACTCCTATCGCCGATGCAAGATATTTACCGTTTCTACCATCTCTCCATCACCTTGCAAGTCAGTTTCCACGTCTTCAAAATGTGGGTAATTACACTTCTTTTCTTTTACCCTTCATGTGACATGGCCATTTATTTATAAACTGTCTGGAATAAGGTCTGCCTGTCCATATGCCTACCACCAAATGCAACAGGGCTCTTCACTGGATGGATGTGGCCAATGGTCCTAAAAGAAATTGTCATTTCTTGTCATACTGCACTGTCTCCTGCTTCAAATTAAAGACATTCAGCAATATTCAACAATAGAACTAAAGGGCCCTCTCCTAAGACATATAGTGATATTCTTAACTACACCAGAAACATGCTTATAGGGTGGCCTGGATTGTTTGTCTCAGGTTTTAGGGAGTGAACAGATGTAACTATTTTCTATAATTTGGTTTGGTGCAGATGCTGAAATGGGGCATTCACAATAAAATATATGCAGTATATGTAATTTCAGCTGGATCCTCTGGTGTTTTAAAGTAAAAATGTGTACCTGCAAGCTGTTTTATGGTTTCTCAGTCATAATTATCTCTGTTACACAGACTGCTACAACTACAACTCTTTCCTCATGTGCAAGCTTTTTAACAGTGTCTTGACAATTCTGTGAATTTTGCAAGGCATGGTATTCTCCTTTTGCTTTGCTCAGAAGCCTGTTAAATTGTTTAATTTCTCTTTGCGGTAAATTTATGAAGTAATCAAATGAAAGAAGGTAGCAGCAGATAATCTATATGAGAAGCTCTTGCACAAGACTGAAAAAAGGATCAGTTTAAGAATCTCAAAGTATAGATAATTAACACATTAACAACTTGAGCTGCAAGTATCTTGTTTGACAATAGAAAAGAAGCATTCATCTACTGCAATTGCATTATTATATTATGACTGGAAGGAGCCTGGAAATGAAGGTTAAAATTCTTAACAGCTGCTGCCTGGTGCATGCACTTGAAAGAGTCTGTTCTGCTGCCTGTGGCATTTCTCAAGGGATGTGGGAGCTGATGAATGACAGAGATGCTAATGCTAAAGTACCAGATATTTATAACATCAATATCAAAGAGTAGCCTTTACTAGGTTCAACAATTAGGCTGAAGGTCCTCAAAATCCCTTGCTAATCACTACATCAGCTGACCTGACAGCCAGGGAGGCACAGGAAGGCAGATGTTCCCTTTGCCTTTTAGTATTCTGTACATACCATTAGGGTTCCACTGGTCTTCTCCTCCCAGCACAAACAAGAAGTTTTCCACTTCCACGACGCAGTGATGGGCACTGTTGTATGGCATAACTGCAAACAAAGCAAGAATTACTTGTCAGCTCAGGACACTGATTTTATCAAATATTTCCTCTTTACCATCTGTACGAAATAATATGAGAATGTCACCCCAGGCATGTATGAAAACTGACTTGAGCAGCAGACAAAGCCACTTATTAGTAAACTTACGCAATTCAATGTTGCAAATAATTAAGGAAAAAATCAGGAATTCTGGTCCCTCAGTGCCCCCTCACCTGCCCAAGTACCATACATGCTGATCTAAAAATAACTTGTAAAAGGGGGTGAAGTTGCATGATATTTCCCTGAAAATAAGCAGATGCTAGGAATCCCGGTATGCTGGAAAACATTAAAAAAACCTCAACCATGCTTTGTTCTGCTGGTAATGTTTCCACAAGAAGAGTCAGTATGTTCAGTAGCTTTCTATTACACAGCAATGAACAAGCTGCATTTCCATACAGTTTTAAGTTTTTAAATTAAGGTCCTGCTGATTTAATGCCTTTTACAAATGTATACGCTTAATTTCCTGTACAATGTCATTAGCAGCACGATCACACATCTTCTATTCATCTAATCAGGAAGCCCTTTGTTAACAAAGATCAAAACTGTGGCATTAGGTTTGCAACATCCCTTTTTTGGTGGGGGGAGGTATCATGATTACTATGGACCAGCTACAGATGCAAACATCTATTTCTTAATATTTACTTTTTCCACTGCAAATGGTAAAATGCAAAAAAAAGGATTACGTGTACATGGCACAGATATTACTGCAGTGTGCCATACCCACTTTAATGATATTATATGGAAAATGCAAACTTATACAGCATTATTACTATACCACATAGAGTAGTTTTGGCCCAGTGGCACCAGTAGGAAAAATGATGTCCTTGTTCAGCTCATCATATGGGCACCTTAAATCTAGGTGAGGACAAATGGGGAGGTGATGTGCATGTACAGGCAGGGAACTTATTGCTTGACACGGATCAACAGAGCACTTAGGAAACCAGTGCAGTGGGAAATCAATATGACTCAGGGCCAGCTCTTACTTTGTGCTCTTTTGCCAATGCCAAAAAAAAAAAAAAAAGAGAGGCAGCCTATCTCACACTTGGATTATTTTGGGTGATATATCTCTCATTTCATTTGTTTTATTATCTTTTATTTTTCTCAGAATGCAGTTGTGCAGTATAGCATATGCAAATAATAATAAGAAGAAATACGCACAGCTTTGCTATTTAGGACACATTTTCTTAAAGATCAAGTGGGCTCATTTAAGCTTCTTACTGAAGTTTTTGCCTAGGCAATGATGAATAAATAAGGTATGTTTTTAGTTTCTAGTGAAGGTCGAATATCTTTTTCATAGTCTGTGCTCTTACAAGTCATGTAAGTGAAGCAGTTCTTAAATTAGGCAGCCAGGTACAGTGAAAGTTCATTAATTAAGGTTATTTGTTACTGATTCAATTATATTAACTGGGAACTAATCTCACTGCAAAGATTTTATACTACCTAGAGATTCCTACAGTAGGATGAAAGAATGAAGTCCATTTTTGCTATCTTTTGAGACACCATATGATAATTATCTCACTCTTTAGTCTTAGAAATTTTCCTCTTTTAAAATCTTCTCTCTCAAAACCACAGAACTTTTCTTGATTTTGTGGATGCTTGTGGTAAATAAAGAATTTTGTCCCTCATGAGAAATTTGCTGCCTTTCTTAGACGTTTTTAGGGACCCTTCCTCTCAAGAAGAGACTCCCCAGGATCAGTCTGTAAGGGCTTCAAGTTTTAAGTAATACAGTGCTCTATTTTATGGTTTCCAATTAGGTCCAAGCTGCTGGTTGCACCCTCAACCTCTTCTATTGGTCAGTCCGGAGAGCTCCAGCATTTATAGGAAAAACTGTCTGCAGGCAGCACACATGCATATTTTTTCCATTGTATTTTCACTTTTGCAAAAATTTGTGCTTATTTATCCACCATATTGACACAAACAGAATCAGCAGAGGAAGAAATTCCGCTTTAAGCTTTTCTGCTGTTACCATGCATATAAGGTATGCAATAAGACTCCCATAATTATTATGATAATTAAACCTTGAAAACTAATGGCTTAATCCTGGCTCCTACTGAAATTGATGGCAACATTCCCAATGATATAGGATTGGGCCCAAACAACCCAAACTACCATCCATAACTCACAGGAAAGCTAAAAGGAGGCTTGCCTTAGAAAGAAGGGTAGTATTTGGCCTTCAGAAAGAAAGGTGACTGCAATAAAACACTGCAGACCTTTACTGTGACCTTTGTTTCTCTCAGAGCTTTGGGGAAAACTGTTCTTAGTCTCGTGAATCTACCCATGGGACTGAAGGGAGCTGGACAAAACCGGCAGAATGGAGCAGCACTGTGGACATCTAAGAGGGAAGGGACTCTTACTGAGAAATCAACCACCTCACATTCTCCTTGACCCTTCAGAACTGGCAGTTATACACAGAAATCAAAAGAACAATTTCCTTTTTTTTGTTATAAAATATCCCTTAAGAGCACAGAAAACTTGCACTAAAAACTATGATTCTTATGGACATACACCCAGATAGAACCTAACTTTCATACACAACAGTCAAATTTACATGGCAGTGGGCATGCTAAATTCAGTATCTGGTAGTAGCAATCTTCGCAAACTCACTGGGCTTGCCAGGGTGTAACAGGAAGAATTTGGCCCATCACACAGTCTGGCCAAACTGCTGCTTTCATTAATTTTATATGAGTCTTTGTCTGCTGTTTGGCTTTAATAGTGTGAAAATCCCATCTTCTCATTTTTTTATCTCAACTCATTGGAACACCTGCCTGCCCCACAAAAAGGGTATTTGAAGAGAAGTTTGTACGCCACGCTCAAACACAGCCCTGCATGAGTTTTTAGCGTGTCAGTCAGTGAGTTAGAGGGAAAGGGTAAGGAGAAGCTAATCAGGATGAAATGAGATTAAAGGCTGTCTAATTTTACAGCAACTGTGATCCATCAGCCACTGTGAAAGTGACAGTGGAAATGAATGATGGAGACAGACAGGTGGGGCTGTACATTTCACTGATTTATCCTCAAATGCACTGGGCCTTATTTTATTGAGTGAACATGACCGCATTTATCATGACTGTCATCTAAACCCACTTCCCTCCATTTAAAAAGGTCACTTTACTAGGAGGGAGTAGGATAGAGGCACTTTCAAAACAGATTTAAAATTTAATAACACATGTTTATAAAACCCTGGGCAAAAATTCTTAACTTTATTAAAGACCGATTTAAAAAGAAGGTGAAAACACTGTTAAAAGGAGGAGAAGAAAAAAAAAAGCCATGGTCATCTGAGAAACATTCCAAGGTGATAGGTGCCAGGGAAATATGTGAGAGAGACAGATATAGAGTAGTTGCAGTGGGCAGAAACCACCTCTCCTAAGTCCCTGCCCCTCACACACATTTCCCAAAGCTCAGGATGCCCATGTTTTCCTGCACCAAGAGCACAAACAAGTGCAAACAGCCCTGCTCAAGACAGCACTCCCTCCAGCCTCCTTCCCATGCACTGATGTATGATTGGTAGGAGACTCTTGGTAAGGTGGGAGGAAATTTCTCAGGTACAGATATGTAACATGCAAAGCTGTCTAGGTCAAAACCAAATGGAAGATTTATACTTGAGAATGATCCGGAAGGCAGCGTAGTCCAAGACTGCAGTGGTGTTTGCTAAGAAATACTTCACAAACATCAGTGACATTGTGCAGGAGGTGACACTCAGTTGTTCTTCAGATGCAGATGAGGAGGAAGACACAGCAGCACTGCATATTAGGATAGATATCCCAAGAAGAAATTCCTCATATATGCCGAAGCTCAGCTAATAAAAAGTACCAGACAGTGTTCTGGGACCTACTGTCAAAATCAGAGACTACAGGTTATAGCCAAATGCTCATGAAATTAAACACTCTCAACTACGGAGCCTGTGAGGTCAACCAGATGCAATGATGCTTCAAAGGCACCTCCATGATACACCTCATGCACCTAACAAGCAACGATGTGTGCTCTTTGTCTTACCCAGTTTTGCTTAGTTTCTGCCAATTATTGCACATTTAGGAAACAGCATCTGGTTGTTCTCCACAAATTAATCAAAGGGTCATCAGTTCCTCCTCCTCCTTACACCTTTCCCCATCTACTGTCGCTTCAAGACTAACTACCAGGGAAAAAGGGAAAACTAGAATAGCACTTCTCAAGACAGAAGGAGAATGAGCTCAGGTCCCAGGAGATCTGAAATCTGTGATACAGGCTATACTGATTCCCCTGCTCTGCTAAAAACTCCTTCCAGAAATTCTACTTGATTCCTCTACTCAAAAAAAAAAACCCCAAAACCCAAAACCAAAACAAAAAAAAAACCAACCAAAAAACCCCCCAAAATCAAACCACAACAACAAAAAACCCCAACACCATAGATTTTTCACTGCCCTGAAGCAGTCAGCTGCTTGAGATACAGGAGGTACTGTAAGGAAAGCCAAGAAATCTCTTAATCTCTTCCTCAACTGCTGCACAGCTTGAGCATAGCCCCTTCAAGACTCAGTACACACCAAGAAGTCATGCTCAGCATCTCTAATGACCTGTGCAGATGACGCAAGAGAGTGTTTCCAGAACAAAGATGTCATTATCAGAGGACATATGGATTCAATAATGACCTTCCACAATATTAACAGCCTATCCTATTGACTACATAATATTCAACTACAGCTTCTTGAAAACTGGTTATTTCCACAGCTCTGAAGAGGGCAGTGCAATGAGAGATGTCTCTTTCCAGCACAGAAGGCACCCACAGACTCACTTTAGGAGACTGTGATTTGATCATGGCAGAGACACAATATTCATGCAGAGACACAATATTCATTTCATTACCAATGCTATCAGCAAAATGCTGGGCAGACCACAGCTGGTCCAATTATTTCCTGAGAATAAAATATCAGATACTGTTCACCTTTCTGTGTTTCATACATCATTTGCAGAAAGACTATGCA